CCGGAAGCCCTCCTTCCGGGAAACCCTGAGGCCGGGAGTGAGTCGTCGGTTTGGACCGGCGCTCCCCGCCCGAGGCTCCCGGTGCGCTAGGGGCCCACCCTCAGGGAGCCACCAGGCAGGAAGCTAGCCAGCCAGAAGACTGGCGCTCACTGCCCATTTACTTTTTAAAACAGACTGAATTTTTACCATTTTGATTGGAAATGCACTAAGTTTATAGATTTGGGAAAGTACATTTACTACACTTAATGCTGGAAATAAAATGGTGTTTAAATTCTTGTTTATGTGTTTTATCATGATTAATGTAGTTATATTTGCTATTAAGTACAATGACTTGTATTTGTGATTTCCTATTCATGACATATATTATCAATTTAAAAGCACTTGCATTATAAATATCTTTTTCTGCCAGGAAAAATACCTTTTTCTCCTTTTTTTAATGGAGTTGTCGTGGGATTCTTTTCAGATATATGTGGTCCGAATTTTGAGAGAAGGACAGTTTGAACCATCATTTGTGTTCCGGACATTTGATGAATTTCAGGAACTTCACAACAAGCTCAGCATTATTTTTCCACTTTGGAAATTACCTGGGTATGTTCCCACCTTGTTCAAATACTTTTTTGTAGGGAACAAGTTATTGTCAGATGTAGGTACAAAGCCTTATGTTAACATAAGATAATTGGACAATGCCTAGCTTAATTTCCTTTGTATCACAAGGGCCTAACGAGAGCTAGTCATAGAAAAGGAGCTGTAAGTTTCTTTCTTTTTTTTTTTTCTTTTTTTGTTTGTTTGTTTGTTTTTTGACAAGGTCTTGCTGTGTACTTCAGGCTGGCCGTAAGTTCACTTTGTAGCCCAGGCTGGCCTCGAACTTGTGGCCATCCACCTGCCTCAGCCTCCCAAGTGCTAAGATTACAGGTGTGCACCATTATGCCCAGCCTGTAAGTTTCTTTTGAATGAAAGAATGAGGAGTATGTGGAATTTCAGTCTCCTAATTTTAGTTTAAGCTTTGACCTTATTGTCTTTATACCATAGTAGGAAACATCAAATAATTTGTAATCGTAGTTTCAAAAAGATCACATGCTCAATCACTGCCAAAATAATCTTGTATGGGCCATACCAAGCACTTCTGATATATAATAAACTGAAGCAGACATCACCGAATGAAAATCTTAGTGGTTAGTTTTGTATTTGATACCCTTTAGAAACTTTACTATAACTTAATGAACAGTAGATTTCTTGTGTCACGTGGTCCAAATTTTTCTGACTAAATTTCAAAAGCAAAGAGGTACTGGCTGTGGTGGCCTGTAATCCATTTAAAATTCAAGCCCACATTGGGCAACTGAGCAAGACCCTGTAAGCTCAATCTTGAGTATCTCAGTATTCCCCCCCCAACCAAAAAAGGTAAAGACTAGGCAAAATAGGTATTAAATCTTATTTTCATGTACAGTCTCATCTTCTGCACACCACCAAAATAAGCAGTAGAATTGAGATTATCCTTTTAGCATCTGAGTTAGTTCCTGTGTCATCTGTGGATTTTAATGGTGTCTACCATAGCTTCTAGATTTTTAGAGATCAGATCTGATGGAATGTTTGTGAATGACTAAAGATGGGAGGAAGCAGTAGAAAATAAACAATGAATACAGGAAACTAGCAACAAATGCATCTTTGGCTTCTAAGATATCTAAGCCTCAAGGTGGACGTGGTGGCGCCCACCTGAAATCCCAGCACTGGGGAGGCTGAGGCAGGAGATTCATTGTGAGTTCAAGGCCAGTCTGAACTGCACAGTGAGACCCTGTCCCAAAAGGACAAAAACAAAAAGAAGAAAAAGAAAAATATATCTAAGCCTCATAAATAGGAAGTGGGCAATTGAACTATTTAATCTCTAGTTCTTTGAAAGTAAATCACAAAAAAATTACTTTATAATGGGTGAAGACTTATCTTCAAGTATATAAAAAGGTATCTTTATGGTAAATATTGTTGATGATTCTATAACTATTTCTAAATGAAGTAATTTAAATCCACTTGCTTTTTTGTCTTTTGTAGCTTTCCCAATAGGATGGTTCTAGGAAGAACACACATAAAAGATGTAGCAGCCAAGAGAAAAGTTGAGTTAAACAGTTACTTACAGAGTTTGATGAGAGCATCAACAGAAGTAGCAGAGGTAACCTTCCTGGATAAGAACTAACACATGCTATACCTGTCGTGCCTTACAGTAGTAAACCAATGGAACTTTTTTCTCTTCAATTACAGTGTGACCTTGTTTGTACTTTTTTCCATCCTTTACTTCGTGATGAAAAAGCTGAAGGAATAGCGAGGTCTGAAGGTGAGATAACTTGTCTTTGTGGATAATTCACATCCTATCAGTCTATAACTTGCAGTGAATGGGATAGCATGGCAGTGGGCTTACTGGCTCTAGCCAATGAAAATAGGAAGAAGGTATTCTTTTTAAACCAGTCTATTTCTGGATAAACTTTTTTAATAATTAGAGTGTTATTACTGAAGAAGTATCAGCCAGTGGTGTACCAGGTTCTTTGCTTCCCCCACCTCACATGCAGTGGTCTTAGAAGAAAAACCAAATTCTTTTTTGAAATTTGAACACTACATGCAGAATAAAATAAAGAGAAAAGTGTTCGTATTTTCAGGTGCGGGTCCCTTCAGTCCTACTCCAGGCCAGGTAGGAGGAGCAGTGAAATTGTCTGTGTCCTACCGCAATGGCACTCTCTTCATCATGGTGATGCACATCAAGGATCTTGTGAGTGATTACAAATAATGCTGATGGTAGAGGAAACCTTCACGTTGGTGGGAAGCAGTACTGTAAAGGGATTGCTTTTCTTTGTAGGTCACTGAAGATGGGGCTGACCCAAATCCATATGTCAAAACATACCTACTTCCAGATACCCACAAAACATCCAAACGTAAAACGAAAATTTCACGAAAAACTAGGAATCCAACATTCAATGAAATGGTAAGTTAAAATCATTTCTAGAAATTTCTAGATTTAAGATTTTTAACTTTAAAATATTTTAGATGTAAAGTTTTAAGTCTCAGTTGCTGAACTGTTTATTGTACAAAGGAAATTAATAACAGCCCAGTAGTACTGAATGAATTTACGTAGGTCAGAGCTCTTAATTCTAGATCCTTAGCTTTTTTTTTTAAATCCTTAGCTTTTAAAAAGACATTAAGGGGCTGGGGATATAGCACAGCAGCACAGCGTCTGCCCGGCAAGCACAAGGTCGTGAATTCGATTCCTGGTACCGGAAAAAAACAAAAAACAAAAAAAAGACACTAAGAGGCCAGTTGTGATGGCACAGGCCTATGATCCCAGAACTCAGGAAGCAACTAAAAAGATATTAAAGCCATGTATGGTGGCACATGCCTATAATCCCAGCATTTGGAAGGCTGAGGCAGGAGGATTTCTGCAAGTTCAAGGCCATTCTGGACTACATAGCAATACCCTGTTTTAAAACAAACAAATTAAAATAAAACATTAAGAACTATGATTCAACTACATTTCCAATGTGTGGACCCCCTGTACAATATGCACAGAAAGTAGTTGTCTGGTCTGTGCTATATATAAATATTTGAAAGCCATCTAATTTCTCTTGGGCAGCTACAACTCGTAGAATTTTAAATTTTTATGTATTTGTGTGTGTGTGTGTGTGTGTGTGTAAGCCTTGAACATGCCAAGTGCAAACTGTACCACTGATTTATACCCTTAAACTGATGGCACCTCTCCCGAGTGCTGGGATTATAGGCATGTGCCATCTTGCCCACCAACTCTTTATTTTTATTTTTATTTTTTTTTTAATTGATTAATGTTTTTGGTACCAGGAATCAAACTTAGGACCTTGTGCTTTCCAGGCAGGCACTGTTCCACTGAGCTATATCCCCAGCCCCTACCCCTCATTTTTATACTAAGCTAAAATCTTGACTTCCTGACATCTGACATCTCCCATAAAACATTTCAGTATCTTTTTTTTTTTTTTTTTTTTGGTCTTTTTGAGACAGGGTCTCCTCGTGCATTTCAGGTTGACCTTGAGCTCAGTTTGTAGCCCAGGCTGGCCTCAAACTTGCAGGATCCTCCTGCCTCAGCCTCCCGAGTGCTGGGATTACAGGGGTACACCACCACGCCTGGCTTCAGTACCTTTTTGTTCATTGATAAGCTGCAGTTTCAGAAATCATTCTTGCTGGGCGTGGTGGTGCACGCCTATAATCTCAGCACTCAGGAGGCTGAGGCAGGAGGATCCTGCAAGTTTGAGACCAGCCTGGGCTACAAAGTGAGCTCAAGGGCAGCCTGAACTGCATAGGGACGCCCTGTCTCAAAAAGACCAGAAAAAAAGATCATTCTTGTTTTTTTAATTCTGGGGATTGAACTTGGGATCTCACTACATGCTAAGCATGCGTGAGGCTGTGTAAAGGCCCTGGGCTTAATTCTCAGTATCACTGAAGAAGGGCTCAAGGTGGTAGTACAAGGGATGTAGCTCAGTGCTCCCTGAGTTCAATCCTCAAGTAACAAACACCCAGTATCTTACTTACTTTCGTCTTATTGCTGAGACAAAACACCCAAGACCCAAAAGTTCAAGGAGGAATGGTTTATTTAGCTCACAGTTTGCAGAGGTTTCAGTCCATACTCAGCTAGTTCCAAGGCAGGGTGGTGTGGCAGAGGGCAACACTTCATGGTGGTGAAGACAGCAAAAAGCAACAAGAGCAAAGGGGAGGAGCAAGCCTCTTTTCCTCCCTTATACTTGTATCCAGGCCACCTGCCTTAGGGCCAGTGTAGCACTCACACCCTCAATCCCAGCACTAGACAATGGACCAATCACAAACTGTAGATTCAGCCGCCCCTGAAGTGTAACCCCCCATGACAAGATGAGGCTTTGGGGGAACGTCCAGCCACAAACCATAATGCCCCGAACAAAAAAGATAAAATGAAAGGTTGACAGGTTTCCAAGTTATTTTAGCCAAACAGCAAGAAGAATTAGATTACCAAGGTGTTTCTCAGAACTTATGGTAAGGCTTCCTGGAAGTAAAGAAGTTTAGGCACTGTGATGAGAATTTAAACAGCACAACCTTGCAGCACTCTAGATTCGCCGCAAACTACATTTTTACTAAGAGTTTCCACTGAACGATGACTGATCAGAAATCACCACTTAACCCAAGAGAGGCAGCAAAAGGAAACTTTAATCCCTCTGTATTTGTAAAATAATTGTGTTATGACCAACTTGCTTTCTCTTTCCTAGCTATTAGCTCAACCTAAGGTAACTGCCATGTAATTTTGCTTCCCTTCCCTGTCATCCGCTTCTCGGAAAAAAGAAAAAGTTTCAGGTTTTTAATTTTTAACCAGTGGTTGGTCCAGCTTTGTACATCTGTATGTAAAGCATTCACAGGAATATTAATACAACCCAAGACTCCTGAAAATACAAAATGTGCTTCCAAAGGAGGGACAGAGACCATAGTACTTGTTGTAATAAGTGTTGTCCATTATGTCATTCTTTAGCTGCTAATCTCACTTTGTTGCATTAAATATATTCAGCAAATCAAAAAATAAATTATAATTTACTGGGGATTTTTTTCTTTCCTTTTTCTTTTTTTTTCCTTGCAGCTTGTGTACAGTGGATATAGCAAAGAAACCCTAAGACAGAGAAAACTTCAGCTCAGCGTACTCAGTGCAGAATCTCTGCGGGAGAACTTTTTCTTGGGTGGAATAACCCTGCCTTTGAAAGATTTCAACTTGAGCAAAGAGACCGTGAAGTGGTACCAGCTGACTGCAGCAACTTACTTGTAAACCAGTCGGTTTCGGGGCTTCGGAAGCAAGAACAGTTATAAATGTGTGCACACACACAGTGCGAACTTTGTATAGTATTTTTATACTTGGGCAGAATTTATAAAGTTAAAAATATTTGCTGCATTTCAGTACATCTGTTGGACCAACAGTCACAGAACTTTTATAAATTTTGGGAAGCTGTTGACATTTTAAAACCATTATATTGAATGCTCTAAACCCTAAACACGTTAAGTCCTGAAAAGGACTTTGAGGTAGTACTACATCAGTTTGGCCACCTATCTGGGACTGTTTCGTATACAGACATAGTGTATTTGTTTTTCTGTTATGTACCTTTTACAGCCTTTACCACTGTGTATGTTCACAACCACCAAAGTAAAGGAAAAATGCGAAATGTTACCGTAAAACACAGCTGCTATTCACTGGGCTGAAAACAAAGCACAAATAGTAAATAGCTATGTTAAGAACTACTAAGTAGTTTATAGAAGTAGGAAAAAAACCTGGTTTTTTATTGATTATTAAAAGCCTTTTTCAGAATAAGTGCCAATCACTGAAGTTGTAAATAATAGTGCCTTACTGAACTTGATATGCTTCCATGGCACTTCATTTCTGATTTTTTTTCTGACTTGATAAACAGTAGTTTTCATTCACCTGCAGCTTACTAGGATGAAGATTATGTTCATGTACTAATTTTTTTGTTTTGTTTTTTCCCTCAGTAACTGAATGAGATTCACTGAGTCATTGCATACAGTTCTATCATTCCATTATATTTCTACATTTATTCCCAGGGTGTGAGGTGAAATTGGGTAATTTCACTTTCATATATTTATACTTTATTCCCTCATTGAACAAGTGAAAATTGTTCACCCCTGTACCCATTCCGGCTTGCTGTAAGAACTCATAAAAGTAGAGCAGACTCTTCACAAGAGGCACACGGACAGGGCCTATTGCAGTGATGGGGAACCTTTTACAGCTTTCAGTGATACGAACAGCCCGCTGTAGCACCTGTGCCGTAAGTTTGTCACCACTGGCCTGTAGGGTCCAGACTGATTTCGGGGGAAGGGAATGATTGGGGGTGGAACCCAGGTTTTGTGCACTGAGCTACATCCCCAACCACCACCACTCCTGGTTTTGTTTCTTTAGTCAGCAACTTACTAAAGTGCCCAGGTTAGGCTTGAACTTGGGATACTCCTGCCTCACCCTCCCAGGATGCTGGGATTATAGGCATGTGCTACTATATTCAATTCAGACTGAATTTTAATATAGACTTTTTTATTTGCCCTTTATATTAAAATGATATTAATATAGACCTTATGGAAGTTTGTTTTGTAAACTCTTGTACATTCATGTGAAAGAATTATTTTCCATAATACAGTGAGATTCAGAATGAGAGGATTGAAATTATTCAGTAACCATTAAGATAAGATTAATTTTTACTACTTAATTTCTGCCATAACTGTGTTTAATTTAGATAAATTTGTGTATATATATGTGTGTATATATATATATATATATAATAACCTTTATGACTAGAATAGAAATTCAAATACTTTTGAAAATGATAATAGAAATGTAGCAATCTGGTTTTTGCAAGAAAACTGAAAAAAATATGCAATGAAGAGTACCATGAGAGAAAAAGGACAGTCTTCAGTTCAGTTGACCAGAATAGAATTTTTATAAACTGTTCAAATGTTTAATATAAATGATGATACCTGCAGAGCAAAAATAAAAGACTTGAGGATATGTCCGTGGAACAGGTTTTAAAAAAAATACAAACTTGAAATTTTTGGTGCCTAACACTAAATGGTCCATTTGTAGGAAAACCCATAATTATGCTGTATGAATGTCTTTTTTATGTTTAAATATGTTGTCTATTTAATAAGTTAATTAAAATGCAGATTAAAGCTCCACTCTTCGCTTTTTTCACAATTAACTTTTCCTCAATGTATGTAAGTAGCTTTGCAAATGTGAAGTTAGCACTAGAAAATTTCACTTAAGCTTTGTTTTTTGAGATCTGATTCCATTCCATGAGTTGTCACTTAGCCATTGTTTAAAAAAACTATCTTGTTCATTGTTAATTGTACTCAAATGGGCTGCATTTTTGCAGTCTTTTATAGCAGTGTCTTTTAGCATAGATAATAGAGCTAGAAACGTGCTTTTACTTTTCAGTTACAAGAAGTCTATATTCATAGCTAAGAGTGTATATTTAATACTGTATCGTTAACAAGAACTCAGAACAAGTGGTAATGTTTTCTCAATTTAACTCCTTTTGTGCCTTCCTTGGTCACTAAAACAAATATTTTAATATGTTATTTATTTGTGAAATGCTAATCTTCAGCCCATACCAAAAGACAAAAAAAGAAGAGGAGCCTCTTTGCACTATGACTATGATCAGTCAATTCTAAATCAGTTGAATTTTTAAACATTTTTTATAGCTTACCTTAAAGTAAATCTGAAAAAACAAGCCTGACAATTTTTATGTGTCATCAAAGTATTTTATACCTATCTTTATTAAGTAAAAATAATCCTGCCCATAAGTCCTGAACCAGAAAGAGCCTTCCTTCCTGCCCATGTTTGAGACCAGCAGATGCGGGCTGTCCCAGGAGCCGTGTGCTTCCAGCTGCAGGGACCCAGGCTGGGACAGCCACTGTGCCTCTCTTCCCCTGCACTTGAAGGCACCTGCGTGTCAGGACAGGCATGGTCACTGATAAAAGTGCTCCTTTCTTCATTTGAAGTTTTCAGAAAGTTTCAAAATCTTGCCTTAAAGTGTTTGGACTGTTCTTTTAGGATTCAAGTAATGTGGCATTAAAAAAATAAAATAATCACTTTTGATAAACTTGGGATGAGAAAGGATTGAAGCCCCACTATGATAATGTATAGTTTTACTCACATACTGTTTTAGTAGCAGTGCAAATATGAATGAGTATAACCAGTCACATCTAAAAGAACCAAATACTTTAATTAGGATAATGATTAAAGATGTGTAATATTTTTATTAATACTTCAAATATGTTTCAGTGCATTGAATGTGACTTCGTAACTGTACTACGACTGTATTATTTCTAGAATAAAGGAACTCTGCTGTCATCTCTTGTCATATTTTGGTTTCAACTTTGATATGAGCTCACTCTTGCTGTTGTTTGCATTCTCACTCAGGAGTGTGTGAAGTGTAGTAATCCCAAATTTTAGATGTGGAGAAATTGTAGTCCTAGGAATTAAACCCAGGTACTTAACTACTGTGAACTGCTATGTTCTCAGCAGCATTTATTCATAACATCCAAAAAGTAAAAACGTCCATGAAGTGATAAATGAATAAACAGCATGTGGTATATCCATAGAGTGGAATCTTAGCCATAGAAACAGATGAAGAGGGCTGGGGACATAGTTCACTAGGAAGAGGTATATCTAGCATGTGCAAAGTCCTGGCTTTGGTCCCCAAGCACCACAGATGTTTTTAATCCAGCCAGTGTCAGTAGCGCCCACCTGTAACCCCACGGACTTGGTAGTTCAGGTAGGAGAATCGTCTTAAACCCCAGGAATTCTAATATCAATCTTAGCCCATAGAAATACCATGTCTCAAAAAAAAAAAAAAAAAGAAAAAAGAAAAAGTAATGAACTAAAACATGGGTGAGGGGCTGGGGATATAGCTCAGTGGCATAAGCACCTGCCTGGCAAGCGCAAGGTTGTAAGTTCGATCCCTGATACCGCAAAAAAAAATTTTAAAAAATAAAAAACATGGGTGAACATAGAAAACATTATGCTAAATAAAAAAACAGATATTGTATTGTTTATATGAAACATCCAAGCAAGTGTAGTGGCCTATTCCTATAATCCTACAAATTAGAGGCCAGCTTGGGCAATGTAGCAAGACACTGCTACAAAAAAAAAAAAAAAAATACAAGACCTGTCTCGAAAGGGGCTGGTGGTGCACACCTGTAATCCTGGCATTCTGAGAGGCTGAGGGAGGAGGATGGCTAATTGAGGCCCAGCCAGGACAATTTAGCAAGACTGTGCTTGCCTAGCATCCCCAAGAGCCTGGATTCAATCCCCAGTATTGCCAAGGAAAAAAGAAGTAAACCCCTAGAAAAAGAGAGTGAGTGAGTTAGGGGTGGGGAGGGGAGGCCAGAAATTGCAAGTTTTCTTTTTTGAAGTGATGAAAATTTCTAGAAACAAGATTGTTAGTGTAAAATGTCATCATATATCTTTAAATGATTAAAATAGTGACTTTCTAGTTTGTGAAATTTACCTTAATTTATATAATCAGATTTTTAAAATATTTGATCATAGATCTTGTCTTTAACAAATGCGTTAACAATAATGGGTCTCTGTGTAGTACAGTTCTGCCCCCCCTTTTGTCTTTAAAAACATCATAAGTTTTCAGTTTACAATTTTTGTCAATCTACTGTAATCCCAGTACTCAGGAGGCTGAGGCAGGAGGATTGCCATGAGTTCGAGCCCATCCTGGGCTACATATTGAGACCCTGTCTCAAACAACCTCCCCCTTATGCCGTGTTTTGGCAACAGCATGGCTTAATTGAAAGTAAACATAATTTAATTAAAATTCAACACGCCTGTATCATATTGATATGAGTATACATTCACCTACATTTTTGTTTTTTGGGTTTTCTTTTTTTCTTTTTTCTTGTCTTTTTTTAAATTTTTTTATTTTTTTTTTGGTTTTTCTTGTTTTTTCTCTGGTACCGGGAACCGAACTCACGACCTTGCGCTTGCCAGGCAGGCGCTTTGCTGCTGAGCTAAATCCCCAGCCCCTTTTTTGTCTTTTTAAAACAGGGTTTCACTATGTGGTTTAGGCTGGCCTTGAATTCACTTTGTAGCCCAGGCCTTGAACTCGCAGCGATCCTCCCACTTAGCCTCCCTAGTGCTGGGATCACAGCCGTGTGCCACCACGCTTGGCTGTATTTTATCTTGATACTGATAAATATACAGGGCCGGGGATTTAGCTTAGTAGTGTAGCACCTGCCCGGCAAGTGTGAGGTCCAGAGTTCAGATATACAAACTGCCATGTAAGGTGAATTTAAAACTGCCCGAGGACAGGCTGAGGCTAAGGCAAGAAAAAGGACTGTAGAATCCAAAAGTTCCAGAGTGGATTGGGCAACGCAAACCCTATCTCCAAAAAGAAAAAACGGGGAGGGGTGTTTAAAGACAACTCAGCTGAGACGCTGACAGGACTGTCTTACGGAGATGAGAGGAAAAACGGAGACTCGTGTCTATGTTGGACAAATGGAGCAGCGCTTAAACGAAATGGAGTGTGGAGAAGCAGATGGGAGGCAGGGATGGAAGCTGGAGCCAAGTTTGAGACATCTATCCCGTGTGTGGACTAAAAATGTAAATTTGGTTAATGATAGTACTGCTGGGAAAAGGTGGATTACCCAATTAGAAGTTCCCAATATTTGGAGGGAAATTATTCGCCAAATAGGCTGCGAGAGTGAACGTTTTAATACCTAGGGTTTTTTTTTAAAGCTTTTCCTCTGTTCAGTTTGGTATCACCGAGCTCCCGCCTTCCCAGGACTG